GCTTTCCTGCAGTCAAAGTAGCTAGACAAAACATATGGGTAATAACACAGCTACATACGTAAATGCATTCTTTTGTCAGAAAATACTTTTGTAAGATATAAAAATACTGCCTATTTGAATAAGTGTTCCTTAGTGTTGAAGATTTGCTATTACATGAAAACATATCCATTTTTTACATCTGTGCTTTTCTATAATTTTTCCAAATATGACAAACAAATGAAGTATTCATAAAGTTCAAGGAAACGCATATTATGAAAAAACTATTCATGGATTTTCAAGGTTTTTTGCATCAAAGTGAGTTTATCTTTTAATTCCATTTTCCATAACTTTTTGAGATACTCTCATATATATGACCACTAATATCCTTAAGATAAATTAAAGGAAAAAAGATTTGTTCTACTCATAAATTAGCATATGTAATGTATGTATGAAAATAGTTTAAGTTAATCATTGATCAAGGGTCAACTTTGAAAAACAAAAAATAATTTCCCATACAGCATTATTCATAATAGCCAAGAAATGTAATAACCTAAGTATCCATCAATGAATAAAGATGTTACATATTAAATTTAATATTATTTTGCCATTTTTAAAAAAATTGTTTTTTTTTTTTATTTGAAATGCAGAGCTATAGAGGGAGAGATACAGAAAGAGAGAGATCCTCCATCTAGTGGTTCACTCCCCAAATGGCTGCAAAGGCTGGGACTGTGCTAGGCTGAAGCAAGGAGCCAGGAGCTTCATCCAGGAGTCCCACCCGGGCAGAGGGGCCTAGGGACTTGCGCCAACTTCTTTCGTTTCCCATGTTCATTAGCAAGGAGCAGGACTGGAAATGGAGCAGCCAGGACTCAAATCAACGCCCATACTGGATGGCAGCACCACAGCAGCTTAACTTGCTACTCCACAGAGCTGGTCTCTATTTGGCCAGCTTTTTTTTAAAAGGATGAAATCTTATCATTTGCAGCAGAATGAATGGAATTTTAGCTAACTTCGTTAAGTGAAAAGAGTCAGGTGCAGAAAGACAAATGCTGCATGATCCCGTTCATATGTGGAATCTAAAAAAGTTGATCTCATAAACAATGAGAATAGAATGAACTGAGTAGAATGAGGCAGAGGAGAGTGGGGTGAGCTAGGGGAATGGGGAAAGATTTGTCAATGGGAATTAAGTTATAGTTAGAAAAGAGAAATAAGTTGTGGTGCTATATTGCACAATAGTGACTATAGACAGTACCTTTAATGTAAATCAGTGCAACTGTTATGGAAAACAATAGGAAGATTGCTCAAAAATTAGAAATGAACCAACCATATGATAGATCTCAGTTCTGGAAACATATCCAAATGAAATGAAACAGAATATTGAAGAGATAACTACTCCCATGTATAGCAGTCCAATTCACAATAACAAAATATAGAATCAACCTAGAAGTCCATCAACTGATGACTAGATAAAGAAAATGTGGTATACATACATGATAGAATATTATTCAGTCATAAAAAGGAACCCTGACATAAAAATTCCTATATTTGCAACAAAATGGATGGAACTGGATATCATTACACTAAGTGAACTAAGCCAGATGCAGAAAGACAATACCATGTTTTCTCTCATATGTGGAAGTTAAGATATATATATATATATATATATAGCATAAAAACTATGTGGATGTCATATTATTTTGTATGTAATTATGAATATTGCCTTCACTGAATTATACTATATAAATGGCAATATACCATTCTATCCTTACCTTATGATCATTGTCATGAAATCCATGTTACATTATTAATGCCCTTGTTTGTGTGTATGTATATAATATTTACATATAAATGAATATGACACTTAATTGTTGAATCTGAAAATACAATAAAACATGCTTCTGGGAGTACAAAAGAAAAAGAAATGTTATATTGTACCCTATAATATGTATACTGTTGAGAAAAATTTTTTAGGAGCTGGCATTGCAGCACAGCAGGTTAAGCAACTGCCTGTGACGCTGACATCCCATATGAATGCCAGTTCAAGCCCTGGCTGCTCCACTTCTGATAACTACCTGACAATGCACCTAGAAAAGCAGTGGAAGATGGCCCAAGGTCTTGGGACCCTGCCACCCATGTGGGAGACCCAGAAGGAGTTCCAGGCTACTGGCTGTGGCCGGGCCTAGTCCCAGCAGTGGCAGCCTTTGGAGAATGAACCAGTAGATGGAAGGATCTTTTTCTCTCTGTCTTTCCCTCTCTCTGTAACTCTGTATTTCAAATAAATACATCTTTTAAAAATATTTTTAATGTTTAAAATAGTAAGTTAATACCGAAATACATTTCGTTATGCATTTCAGAATGCACATTATTTCTAATAATTATTATTTCTAATTTGGGGGAAGTCACAGCCTCTTCATGAATTTTTTACCCTTTCTCAGACATATTGTCTGATAGAATTTTTCATGAAAACACTTGGGTAGTTTCATGAGTTGGAAGAAAATATTATGACTCTGGAGAATAAGAGAAGCAAAATCCACATTCTTAGAACTTACTCAGTGATGTGGAACAAGGACAATTAACCCAGATTACTCTGTGATGGTCATACCACTCAGTGTAGTGATTTTTATTATTCTGAAATTATAAAGTATGCTAGGTTCACTCATTCATGTGAAACCTCAGTTCTGTGTAAAATTAAGCCTGGATTTATTTTCAAGAATTTTAAAGATTCTGTAAATCATTGCATTTCAGTGGACATGCTCTTTTTAAGATATACTGAATAAAAACAATGACAAAATCTTTTCTTTCCTTTGAAGTTCTCTTCATTGGACAGGCTGGAGGAGCATGTGTGAAATTTTATAAAACAAAAGAAGCACAAAATATGTCAATATATAAAGGATAAAATAGCAGGAATGTGGTACAAATATATATTTAAAGATGTAGTGAGAAAATGTCATGTTCATTTGGAAAATGTAAAATTTTACATATGTTTTAAAATACTCCCTCTGGGCCGGCGCCGTGGCTCAATAGGCTAATCCTCCACCTTGCGGCGCCGGCACACCGGGTTCTAGTCCCGGTTGGGGCGCCGGATTCTGTCCCGGTTGCCCCTCTTCCAGGCCAGCTCTCTGCTATGGCCAGGGAGTGCAGTGGAGGATGGCCCAGGTGCTTGGGCCCTGCACCCCATGGGAGACCAGGAGAAGCACCTGGCTCCTGGCTCCTGCCATCGGATCAGCGCGGTGCGCCGGCTGCAGCGGCGGCCATTGGAGGGTGAACCAACGGCAAAAGGAAGACCTTTCTCTCTGTCTCTCTCTCTCTAACTCTGCCTGTCAAAAAAAAAAAAAAAAAATACTCCCTCTACTAAATAGATTTAAAGTTTAAGTGTGACAATGACCATTGATTTGGCAAATCTGAAAGCTTTGCAAGAAAAGCTTATTTGTTGATTTTTCCAGCCTTATGAAAAACACAGTATTTCCAAAGCATAAATTGTAAAATAATTATGTAGAAATCAGGGTGTACTTGAGGCAACTAAGAGATAAATGTAGAGATGGGAGATACAGTTGAGAAATGTTAGTTTGTGGATGGGTCATCTTCCTTTCTGATGAGTAACTTGTTCTCGGGTTTCCTTCTGCTTTGAGAAAGAATGTGGCTACAGGGTGACTCTTGGAGTTCTTGTACAAGATTTAAGGTGAAATTCAAGCATTGAGTAAAAGTACTCTTCAACTGGAACAACAGAGACCTGGTCTTTCTTAAAAATTTTAAAGATTCTATAAATTATTATAATTAAGTGGATATGCTCTGTTTAAAATACACTGGATGGAAACAATGACAAAATTATTTCCTTTAAATTTGACTTCATTAGAGAAGCTATGGAAGCATATATGAAATCATATAAAATAATAGAAGTAAAAGGAAGTAGAAACTAATTAAATACACAAGAAGAGTTTAGAAGATGGAAAAAAAGAGTAGAAATTGGTGCAAACTGATCTCTTTAAAAATTTTATCATGTTTTCACAATAATTTTGAAATAAAGAAAGATGAAAGGAAAGGAAAGGAAGAATGAAAGAAAAAGAAAAGAAAGGAACAAAGAGTGAGGGAGGAAGGGGAAGTGACATTATATTCTTAGACTTGTATCTATGAATTATATGTAATCTGTTCTCTTTGCATTTATATCAGATTAACAGGAGAATTGATGGAAATTGTGTTGTAGTAATTATCAAGCATTTGATGTGACCCTGAGAATTTAATGTATTAATAAATCCCTTAAAGTAAATAATAAAAAATGAAAAATCCTAAATTATTACATACTGGCATATGAAATAAAATTTTATGTTGAAAATTTAGTTTTCCTTATGAAAAATTATATAAATAATAAAACTAGACTCATATAGAAAAACTAAAATAAACCTACTTGCAATATCTTAGGAAAACTTTAGTACTATCTTTTATGCATTAAGAAAATATATTGATTTTCAGAAAAATATCTGTTTCAAGTAACCCTGGAATAATATAACTCATTTGCTATAACCAGAACCCAGCTATATAGACTTGCCAATTATTTAGAAAACAGCTATGCTTTGGGTATTTAACACAAACTTCTGTTCTAGACACAAATACGGTATTGGAACAATGCTGGTTTAAAAGTTAAAGGAAAAAAAAACCTTAATTCCCCTCAAATTTGATGTATTCCCTCTGTTCTTTGTATGAACTGAATTTCATGCTTGCTGTGAAATCTTGCTTAGGTAATAAGAGGGAACAATTTTAAATATATCTTTAAGATAGAGATTTAAGAGATGGAGAGAAACACACTAGTCAGTCATAGTGTGATCCCTGTTTATTTTCCAGCAGGAAGCTGGACTGGGAAGATTCCAAAGTAAATTCAGGTAGAAGGCTCAATGATATGAGACTTTTCTGTAAACTGGTAACAATGCTAAGACACAGAATAGGTAATAGCTCGCATTCCACACTGATTTCCACCAATAACTTGGGCTCAAATATTTCAATATGATTTGAAAAATCTTCTTGTGGATTACCTAAATTAGGTGATACATTCGATGGGTTCTTCAGATTATCCAAGAGATGGTCATTAGAATATTGAAGTTTTTCTCCCAAGTTACTTATCGGCACTTTCTCTAACAGGGAATGCAGTGGGTTGTTCCCATTTTGTACTCCCTGCTTGTCTGTGGAGAGACAGTGTTTTTGTTATGCTTGAATGTGGTAGGAGATGGGATAAAGTAAAAAGTAAAATGCTATATTTATCATAGCCCTTCACACTGGCTACACTGCATAGGCTTCTTAGCTGTACTCTCATCTTTGGTCTCAGAAACTAATATCAGATTGTGCTTATACACTTTATTCATATAGCCAGTATTTCAATGTTTCTGATGCTTCTATGGGAGAAGAGTGTGATATAATTACAACAAAATCTATTTTGGATTTAAGAATAGCACTAATCTTTGGAATATAGACCTTTACAGGATCCACTTACCATAATTAAGACTGACTGTAGAGGACTAGACTTAGTAACCAACCTAGGAGCTACCTTTGGGGAAAGAAAGAACTTCTTTGGATGTCATGTGAAAAACACAAGCCCATTACAATGTACCCCTTTAGTGATTTTCTTTTCATCATTTTTTATAATATATTCTCCCTTAAATTTATATAGCAGTTTTCAGACCTTTTCCATATATATATATATATATATATATAATGATCATTTAGTATTCATAAGAACTTATGAAGCAAGAAAGGCAGTAATTATTATCCTTATTTTGCATAAGAGTAAACTCAGTTCCAAAGAAGTTAAACGATTTTCCCAGGGACATTTAGAAAGCAGGCTGTGGGTCTGGAACTAGACATAAACCTTCTGATCTTTTTTCGAATATTATTTCTTACCTTTATTTCCATTGGCTTCAAGTGGACTTTTCTCTTTTTCTTCAATGTTCATTACATTTAGCCCCTATATGGGAAAAGGAAACACTGGAATCTTTATCTGCCAATTGTTCTTAGAAATGAATTTAAATACTTTGGGATAAAGTCTATCTCTCGAGAGAATAACATAAATGAGGGTAGAATGTTTCTATTTATTTTAATTTTTAAAGGCTATAGTTTTCTTTACTAACTGATCTTTAGACACGAAGGAGAAAATCAATTATGAAGTGAGAGCCAAATATTCAATGTGGGTCCACTTGTCATTTAGCTCAAACCAATATTGACCAACGATTATTTACCAAGACAGAAGCAAGTGCAGTAAATACTGGATTTTAACCTGAGTGTTTGAATGTGAAAGCAGTTAGGAAAGCAGTAGAAGGGTTTTATTTTTTGTCTCAAAATAGCAATAGCAGTAAGACCTTACTTAGCTAAGAGAAAGAGACCTGCAAGAAAGTATTAAAGGAAATTATCTACTAGGAATTAGGTTTCCTTGCTATTCACAGAAGACTGAGGAAAATTTTAATAAAGGCAATTTTGCAAAGATAATGCTCCATTCTTTTTGGTCCTCTTACAATTTCAAGTTATAATTATGGTAATTTACTACCTGACACAGTCTTGTCAAAATGCATGATCTTTGTATACCTGAAATTTGGTTACCTATGCGATATTTATAAATTAGTGCACTGAAATATTTATGCACTTATTCATCTCAAGATCTTAAATACACAGATTCTCCCTTTATGAGATGTTTTCACCAAAATGTCACCAATAGCCGCAGACTCATGGTATAAAATAAAGGGTGAGTATCTTAGAATATGAAGTAATGTTTAAGAAAATCGAGCAGATAGGTAGTGTGGTAATGTTAATAATTAATACACTTATTCTTTTTCTGACTGACAAGTCTTTAAAACTTCCCCTTAAATACTGTCCACAGTCTCCTAGGCCACAAGAGGTAAGTTCTCAAGCACATCCTGTTATTCAACATGGGGCCGGCGCCGCGGCTCACTAGCCTAGTCCTCTGCCTTGCGGCGCCGGCACACCGGGTTCTAGTCCCGGTCGGGGCGCCGGATTCTGTCCCGGTTGCCCCTCTTCCAGGCCAGCTCTCTGCCGTGGCCCGGGAGTACAGTGGAGGATGGCCCAAGTGCTTGGGCCCTGCACCCCATGGGAGACCAGGAGAAGCACCTGGCTCCTGCCATCGATCAGCGTGGTGCGCCGGCCACAGTGCGCTGGCCGTGGCGGCCATTGGAGGGTGAACCAGCGGCAAAAGAAGACCTTTCTCTTTGTCTCTCTCTCTCACTGTCCACTCTGCCTGTCAAAAAAAACAAAAAACAAACAAACAAAAAAAAACAACAAAAACCAAAACATGGTAAGTCAAGCAAAATCCCACAGAATTGAACATATTCCAGTTTGTGATAATATAGACAGAGATAGAATACTCTTTCTCTCTGTATAATTTATAAAGAAATAACTGCAAAGAAGAGCAACCATTTATTTAGAGTAACCTGGCAAATATTTTTATCAGTATCCATTTGCAATGTGTGAACAAAGAATTTCTACATTGGTGAGCAGGTCTCTGATGTACTTCTGCCTCACTGAGTAGGCTTTGATGTATCTTGAATAACCACTAAAATAATAAAGTATTGAAAAATCTTGCTAATTTATGCTGCACATCTCTATAATTGGTCAATATCAAGGCAAAGGAGAAAAAGTGTAAAGGAGTGGAAAGATAGATATGGCATGCCTTAAGTCATCCTATATTCACCTAACTGAAAAGTCTTCCTACTAACACTGAACCCTTCATGAGTAAAGGTATAATACAGGGCCTTACACCTGAGTGGTATCCAAAAAGCAACAAGGTGTAGAGATATGGATCTTACATCTGTTTTTTGCAATGGCATCCTTATTGACTAAAATTTTGGTTCTTTTTGTCATCGAAGTAGGGAGTTCAAAATTGACTAGCTAAAAAATAAAGACATTTTGTAAACAAAATCCTCTAAATACAATAACTTAACATCTACTTACCAGGGGAAAATGGCTTTTATGCACTAGTGAGGGATAATGTGACAGGAAGAGGAACTTTGGATACATGAAGCACTGTTATGAAAACATCACAATTTTACATGAAGGGCTACTTTCTTTTTTTCCCTTCTTATTTTTTTACTTTTATTTAATGAATATAAATTTTCAAAGTACAGCTAAAGGATTACAATGGCTTCCCCCCCCCATAACTTCCCTCCCACCCACAACCCTCCCATCTCCTGCTCCCTCTCCCCATGAAGGGCTACTTTCATGACTACTTTTAAGTGATTAGAACAAGGAATAATAAACACATGATAAAAAGTTAATTTTGATGCTACTATGGAAAAATATGTAATAACTTTTTTATGTTTCAGTTTAGAAAACTAAGACATAAACACTATATACACTACACTGGTGAAAAAGTCAAGGTTAGAATTCAAGTACTCTTCATTCTCAGGTCTAATATCATCAATGTCAGTTGTTATATACCATTCCTCCTTTTGGAATAATCCATGTCAATGTGGTAAATTATCAAAGATGATTTGGTAGGCTTACCTTATTGGCATGATCAGAATTATCATTCATTTTTTTCCTAGATAGCAATGACTTCAGCTTTATCACATTGGCTTCAATACTCTGCATGCGTGTTTCATTCCTTAAATGAAAAATAGAGGCATGGGGAATCAACAAGTTCTGCTGCCAAGCAGGATGAAGGTGAATGGAAAAATGGTGACTTAACTGCCAGGATACAATCTTTGAGAAAATACCACAAGTATAATAAATTTCACAGATTATGGCAGGTTTTCGACCAAGAAACCACAAACCATATGACATTTTCCAGTTACAGATATTTCACTTCCAGACTCTAAAGCCAACTGCTATTTGGAAGATTTAAGTACATAATTCAGTGGTTATAATTCAGCCAGAGTGTCTACTTCCAAGTAACATACCAGAGTTTTCAACTTGAAGAGGCCCAGAAAAGCAGCATGGATGAAAAAAAAACACATTAATCTATTCCTTAAGAATTCTGAATAGGAAATATTCTTCAGCCCAGGGAAGCTCTCAGTCCACAGGATGCCTTTTTGCCATTGTAGTTCTTGGTAAAGACAATAAATCATTTCACTGTCCCCAATAGGAGAAGTGAGATGCAAGGCACTACAAACGACTTCAACAATATTGCCATCTGTGATGTTCTATACTATTCCCAATGTAGACTTTGAAATGACCATATTTTTCCAAGTAAACAAATCCTCAGTCTGAATTTCATCAACAGATGAAAGTCACAGACTTGAGGGAATGGACATACGCTGTCAGTGAGCAAAATAATTCTGTAATTGGACTTTATTCTGTTGTGCAGCCCTTGACTTTATTTATTTCCTTAGTTGGGAAAATCAGGTGCTTGGAGGTCCATTTGTGGTATTATTGTCAATTTGTTTAATCTAATTTCAAGAGCCTAAAACAGCACTAAATTATTATTGAACTACTCAACATTTACTGTTAAAGCTACCCTGAACAATTGGCATGATCAGGTTAAATATTGTGGGGAGTCCAATGCCCTGAAGGATGAAGACTCTTTAACTGCCTAGACTAGTTCTATTTGGCACAAGTCTGGGGGTCCACACTTAAAGTCTGGGATCAGGCTGAGGAAGCTCACTAGGCTGCATTGGGGGTGTGTTTCTTAGGAAGTTTTTTGTGTGAAAAGGTCTACATGGCCCACGCATGACCTTTGTCTTCCTGGAGTTGGGTAATAAATGAGAGTCAGTAGCAGGGAATAATACAAATATAAGACAATAAAGCTTGTAAACAGACAAATACAAGTACTGCTGATGAAGATGAAACTCGGGTGGACCTCCTTCCTCCACATGCCACTAAGGGTTTTTATGGGTAGAGATTTGCTGATGATAGCGCCTTTGTGGCTCCAGTTTAGTAGAGTTTCTGCTGAAGTACACACAATGTCCTAGTTTCAGGAAATGAAGACATCTTTTTTTCCCCTCTATAGTTCTGTGCCAAGCAGAAGACTTCACCCTATGTGCAGAGCTAATTTAAGATGTTAAACGGAGGGGAGATTTTATACTCCCTATATTTGGCTCTCAGTTTCAGATGACCAGAGAGAAGACATCAAGCATATCACCACAGAGTGACTCTTTGGTGTATGAGAAATAATAATAACATTTATAATTGGACATGTAAGGGAAAGATTTCCTTAATCACATCTCACTTTCCTTACCATAGTATTACATTTTGGACTAGCAGGTTATTTTCTAACTTTAGAATATATGCCTAAGAATCAATATCCAGGTTTCCTTAGAAACACAACTCGTATGTCAGAGTTAAGCACAGTAGGAGGTATTGATCATACTTTAATTTTCCCCTAAAATGTCTCATTGGCTAAGGTTTTAAAATAAATGTAGATTTAATATTTAAGTATATAATCATTGGATATAACACCAAATGAAACTGCATCTCAGCTAGAGTTGGAGGTCGCTATCCATATACTTAGACTTCTAAATCTTCATCACCATTCTAAATAATGTTTCTGAGCTTCACAGAAAAGAAAAGGAAATAAAGTGCAGAGGTGCTATTCAAAGACTCTACAAACTACTGTTGATATATCCTGCATTTCCTCAGATCTATCTAAGGTATTTCTAAACTATGAAAAGATTAAAAAGAAACATATTCTTAAAAACAAGTGTAGCAACCCCTAAATTAGAGAAAAATAGATTGTATACCTCTTCATTATACTTTTATATGAAGTGTCTGATTTGACTTTAGTCAAGATCAGATTATTGTCCCGAGAGGAAGATACTAATTCCAAATAAGCATCTTTAGTTTCCTGTCCAAAGGATTCTTTGGTCACTGTTTCTTTGCAATCTTTCTTCACAGCACCCCAATCAATGGTCAGCAAATTTTCACGCATAGGTATATTTTGAATTGATACTTCAAAGTTTTTTCTGAGAAATAAAATGGGAATACATTATGTCAACATGTTGCAAGAGCTCAAATTAAATCTACTGTAGAATATCAATCAGTTATATAATATTAGCAGATTTACAATATTTAGGTCAAAGAGCCTATAATGTGCTGACAGCTTCTCATTCTATTTTGGTTATGTATTGTATATTGCAATGTCCAAGCATTCTGACAGGCCAACCATTCCATCATCTTGATTTAAGAGAACAAAAAGGCTTATCACATCCAGAGTAGCTGAAACCAAAAGGACAGACAATAGCAAGTGTTGGGGACCATGTGGAAAACTAGGATCCCCACACATTGCTGATGGGAATCAGTGTAAAATGATATATTCAAATTGGAAAGAGCTTAACAGTTTCTTTATTTTTTTTTAAATTTTTTGACAGAGTGGACAGTGAGAGAGAGAGAGACAGAGAGAAAGGTCTTCCTTTTGCCGTTGGTTCACCCTCCAATGGCCGCCGCGGCCGGTGCGCTGAGGCCAGCGCACCGCTCAGCGCACCGCGCTGATCCGATGGCAGGAGCCAGGTGCTTCTCCTGGTCTCCCATGGGGTGCAGGGCCCAAGCACCTGGGCCATCCTCCACTGCCCTCTGGGGCCACAGCAGAGAGCTGGCCTGGAAGAGGGGCAACCGGGACAGAATCTGGCGCCCCGACCGGGACTAGAACCCGGTTTGCTGGCGCCACAAGGCGGAGGATTAGCCTAGTGAGCCACAGCGCTGGCTAGCAGTTTCTTTAAACACAATTTCCATTCAATGCTACTGATTTCTAGTATTTTAATTTTTGGGTATCTACTCAAAAAATATAAACATATTTTCACAGGAGCAGGTTCATAGGAGCATTATCCATAATAGCAAAACAACTGGAAAGCATTATTCATAATAGCAAAAAATTGGAAAGTGTGTCAATGCATTAACTGCATTAACTGATGAATGAATAAATGATGAAATATTATATGGAATTAAAAACTGATCCATAATATAACATGGATGAACCTTAAAAAACACTATTTTAAGTGAAATAAGCCAGATGCAAAAGACCACTTATTATATGGTTACATACAAAGTATCCAGACTAGTCCAATTGATAGAGACAGAAACTAGATTAATAGATAATCATGAGGGATCTTATGAGGCTGATGAATGTGTTCTAATATGAGAGTACAGTGATGATATTTCAACTCAGTAAATTCATCACAAATTGTTGAACTTTACATCTATGATACATTAAGCATATATCCATAAAGTTGTATATAAAGAGGCTTCAAAAATTCATGGAACTTGCATATTATGAAAAAATTGTAATGATCTAAAAATTTTGCACCAAAATAGACGTGTCTTTTAATATCATTTTTCCATGAAGACTTTGGAGTACTTTTAGAGAAGCTGAGTGTAATATAGCATGTTACATAGAAATGTAATGGTACCATCATCAATGTCAGCACTCATATTCAAGTTTCAATTTTGTAGTTTAGGCACTAAATTCTGGCTTCTCAATTTTGATTAGGAAAGAAGCAGAATGGGGCAACTATTTGATTTTCATATGAAGGAGGATTCCTGGATGTTTCACAAATTATATACTAATTTATATAAGCTTCTGTCAGGGCTCTGCAAAGAATGATGAAAACATTAAACTACAGATTAAAATTTCCACTGAGGTAGTTTACAGACACAGTGGAGGTTAATTTTCTCATAGGATTAAATATTTGTTTAAATAGGATAATTAGGTTCAATAGAGAACAACATTTATCTGTATTCTTTCTGAGTTGACATTTTAGAAGACTGTTAAATGTCTGTGATTGTACAGCTCCCTGAAAGTCACATTGTTAATTTAGCTTCTAATGTTCCATGTGCAAATGTTCGCATAGCATTTACTACAATTATAACATTCTTGATGCTATAAAGTCTGAGGTCCACTAACTTCTTTCTCTCTGATCTCAATAGGAGAGCTTTCCTGGTGACTTCTATTTTTCGTATGTGCCTACTATTAACATTCTGCACCTCTGGTTCACTTGATGGATGCACTTAAGGGACTAGAGGTATGCCTCTTTTCTGTTTCAGCACGCAGATGGATGGATGGTTTTCATGCTCTTGGCTTTAGCAGACATTACATCTGCAAAAATTTAATGCAAGAACTAATGTTCTACATTCACATTTTCTTCTCCAGAAATATGTCCTTTCCATTTTCTTGTTACTTCAACACTTAAGTTCCAATGCATAACTCAATGGCTTGTTTCTTCTCTTGATAACAAAGGCTTTCAGATATCCCACTCACAACTCTAATGACTTTCCCCTCTAACATGTTATCTCTTCTAAAATATTCTAGCCCCCTAGCTTTCAATTGAATACCCAAAAGACATTTCATGCTATTTTGCCTCCTAAATTATCTTCCATTGGAAGGCGTCTCCTTCAACAATCGTGTGCCTGTCCTCCTCCTCCTCCATCACAATTAATGAGCCTCTCTTGGCTATTTCTTTCTATCCAAATAGGCATCACTTAGACCTAGATGTCTAACGATATAATCTTTTTATTTATTTATTTAATTTTTTTTGATAGGCAGAGTTAGACAGTGAGAGAGAGAGAGACAGAGAGAAAGGTCTTCCTTTTTCCATTGGTTCACCCCCCAAATGTCCGCTACGGCCGGCGCGCCACGCCGATCCAAAGCCAGGAGCCAGGTGCTTCCTCCTGGTCTCCCATGCGGGTGCAGGGCCCAAGCACTTGGGCCATCCTCCACTGCCTTCCCAGGCCACAGCAGAGAGCTGGACTGGAAGAGGAGCAACCGGGACAGAATCCGGTACCCCAAAGGGTATCAGAACCCGGGGTGCCGGTGCCGCAGGTGGAGGATTAACCTAGTGAGCTGCGGCGCCAGCCTAACGATAAAATCTTAATTCACTGACACCCAGATATCTAACATCTACAAAATGCATATAAAATGATATTTCTGTTTGTTTTTCTATTTTCTTAAACACGCACAGAAAAATTTCAAATTTGCAGACCAATTTTTTTGCCAAATATTGTTACTTGTATTTCTTACATAATTTGCTACTTTAATTTTTGTTGTTCTTGTGAATGAAATTTTACCACTATAATTTTAATGGTCTGTTGATGACAAAAGTATTGATCTTATACATCATTTTATATTAAGGAAGTTATTTTTTCAGAATCTTATTTCTTCAATAATTGTAGTATTATGTACATTTCTAATGGGTCAGTTGTCATTGCCCTGTTCTGTAGCCCCAAAATACAGGTCAAACTAGTTTGCATCTGTGTTTTGATGATCGTAAGGGGCACTGTAAAAAATGGATGGCAATACTATCCCACCTTTAAGAAATAAACACAAGTGCAAAATATATCGATAGAGCATCACTAGCATTATTTTTGTAATTGAAGGAAAACATTATTTGCTCACTTGAAATATGATATTTACCATGACTAACATAGCTACAGTCCATATTATATTACATTGCCAATACACTACCCACAAAATTGCTTACCCGTCATTTCCACTTGCTTGGTTCACATTTAAAAGTGAATTTTTTGATTCATCTTTCAAAGTAGGTAAGCCATTGTCAATGAGAATTTTATTGTCTTCCAAAAAATCATAACCATTTTTAAATATCTCCATCTAAATAGGAAGGTTAGAGGAAATGAGAGTTGGTTATGTACCTGTATATACATCTGGTCTTTCTCATATCATATTTGATGTGATTGCTGTTCGGAATATTTAACAATGGTATGAGAAATAACAGCAACAAGCACTGGGAATGTTACTGACAGTAAATGTTCTTCTTTTTCCCACCTAGCACCATCTTATCTTCAAGACTTACAGCTTCTTCCTTCTTCTCTGCTGGAAGATGAAAACATTGACGAGCACATTTGGATGCTGGAGCCCCAGAGGTGACTGGCAATGACCTGCAATGAAATCCACATTTCATTGCCATTAGCTCCTAGAATGTTGCAACGGTTAAGCAACTCTGTTGTATGGAACCTAAATTTTAATTATCTTTTGTTAGAATGTTTCCTATTTGAGATAAATGTTTTATGATCTTAGCATCAAAGTGGGGAAAAAGGACCCAGCACATTTAAATGGTAGGTGGTATAGAAGAATTAATGTCAATTTGGAATATTATCCCTGTATATTAGTTTCCTTCTGAGTGCCTACATTAAAATATTCTGGAAGTTTGGACATTTTAACATGGCCATATAAAACTGAAGCAAAGATCAAAACAGGAAATCAGGATCCTTAGAACATGTCTTATTCCAGCTCTAGGGAAGGCAAAATACAGATTATGCCTGGACCATCCTATTATGTCAAAGTAAGTGGTCAAAGTAATAAGGACATGTCCATCAATGGACATATTGTAAGGATTATAATCCTTTTAGTAAAATGAGAATTCATGATTCTATACAGTTGCAATTAAATGAATAAAAAAGTAAAAGGCAAAGAAGTTGAAAAGATCTTCCATGTAGTAGAATGCAAACTGAAATGTAGAAGAACGATGTAATAGGGAAATCATTTTTGTACAACCATCATATTAATACATTGTTTAGTTAAGAATCACTAATATATTCTAAAATTAATGGATAAAATTTAAAGATTTAAAGACTATAGATTAAAATTATCTCCCATCAATTACAAAAGCAAAAGGCATCAATGATGCAAACTGGACAGAAGGGCACAACATCCCTTATTGACACTAATGTTCAAAATGTATAATTTGATTTTCCTCAAGACATCATGCCAAACTCAAAGGGAGAAGTATTTTATAAATATTACTGGCTTGCACTCTGCAAAATTGTTGAGGTTACAGAAGACAAAGACAGGCTGAGGAACTGTTCCAGAGAATTAAGAAACATAATAAGTAATGCAGTGTATGAACCTAGGTTGAATCCTAGACTAGGAACACAAGACAGTGGGTAGTTTTGGTTATAAAGAATCTTAGTGATAAAATTGGTGAAATTTGAGTATGGACTTGGGATTAGAAAACTATATCACATTAATGCTAAGTTTTCCAATTTTTATGCTGTACAATGGTTATGTAAGAAAATGTTATTGTTCTTAGGAAATACACATGAAAACATTTAAGGTTAAATGGACATGACATCCACAATTTACTCTCAAAAGGTTCAGTTAAAAAATTTGTGCGTGTGTGTGTGTCGGGGTGGAACAGAGAGAACAAATGATAGGAGAATGTGGGTATAGACTACATGCAGTCCATTGTAATCTGTTATAAATTTTCTGGCAATCTTAATTATGTTAAAATTAAAAGTTACCAAAAAGAAAATCTGAAGTGGGAAGAAGGGCCCACTCAAATGGGAGACAAAGCTCTGGAGGCAATAGCTCTACTATCTGGGTTTGACTATCTCAATTATGTATTACCTATGATACCTTGAAAAATGTAGTTAAAACTTGAAGTGAACTCAGTTCCTCATCTGTGAAATGACAATATTAGAGATTTCTCACAGGATTTTTCTGAACATTAAATGTGATCATTTATGTAAGGCACTTCACAAAGTATCTAGCATATTGTAAGTGTTCAATAAATATTAGCCATTAATTATATTCATTGGTTCTAAATTGCTTAATCAAGTATGAGGAATCAAGCAAAAACTGTAGGACTTTTTGTGTGAGGTAGAACTAGATGCTACCTTGCAAAGGCATGTTTTACAATTAGATACCCTGTCTTTTAAGCACTTACACAAAAATCCTACAAATTTAGGTTATAAAAGTTAAGATGGAACTGGGAACGCTTGATCATATCATAAATCATAGGTGAAATGGTTTTATTCTCTCTGGCTAGGTTAATACCTTACATAAAGAGCCTATATGGAAGTCCCAGGACTCGTTAACAAGGAGTTAAGGGTATCTTCATATTTTTCTAGGGGAATCCTATGGGAAGTATAAGAAGCAATTCAGCACCATTTGGCCCCTCAGAGCTGACTAGAAGCCTTAGAATGACTGGTACTTTACAGACATACATTAGTTATCAATGGCACTCCTAAAACCATCTTAAGGATATAGATCAAAACAGTCTATAATCAACAACCAGCAACCAGCAACTAGCAACTAGCAACTAGCAACTAGGGTACTCCTATCATGATTATATAATAGCAAATTAATCTGTTATCTTCTTTTTTTTCTTATTGATTTCTTTTTTTTAAACTTT